CATATTGTTTTCTTTCTTTGTTTTTTTATAATTTCTATAATGCTTCTTTATTTGGATAGCATTTCTACTTTAACTTCCAGCAGGCTAGTTTGTAATTTATTCATTTGCTTTTGCAACTGATAAAGCATTTGCCATTGTTCATTATTTAACTCTGCCCCAAAATTACTAGTCAATTTATCAATTAATTTTTGTTGTTTGTCTAAATAATACATTATATCCTTGCTACTGGAAATGTTTTGTAGTTTAGATTGTTCTTCCAACATTTCTTGCAGTATACTTTGACAATAATTTTTTCTTTTAATTTTAAGTTCTTGGTTTTCTTGCTGTAATAATTCTATTTCTCGGGCTTGACTTCTTGATAATTCCTGAGATTTTTGATTTTCCTTGGTCTTATCATTGAGTAATTGTTCCGTCGTTTGTAATTTTTCGGTTAATTGCTGGATAGATTGTTGATTTTGCGTGATTTCTGAGAGCCCTTTTTGCTCTTTTTCTACTAATTGAGTTTTTAAATTCTGGTTTTTGGTTGCTAATTCTTGTTTTTCCTGTTGGGTTTGGTGAAATTTTTCTTCTCACTCTTGCTTTAATTGATGAAAAGCCGCCACCGTAATATCAGGCCGAGACTCTTTAGTTTGAGTTAAAATATTCGCTTGTTCTTGTAATTGTTGGATAATCTGCTCGGCATTTTTTCTCGCCTTTTGTTCGCTTTGTCAATCGTTTTGAACTTTATTTAAGCGGTTGGTTAAAGCTTGAATAGTAGCCTGATTTTTCTGCTGCAAAGTTGAACCTTGTTCTAATTCCCGTCGCTTTTGTTGCAATTTTTTTTGTAAATCGTCAATTTGTTCTTTCTGAACAACAATTTGTTTAGGCAAATTTTCTAACTGTTCCTCTAATTTTTGGATAGCGATTTGAGCCCTATTCAAATCATTTTTTGTTTGCCGATGAGTTTGCTGCTCATTTTGCCAATTAAATTGGCTGGTTGCCAATTGATTATTAAGCCTAATTATTTCTTGATTAGAATTAGCAATTTGGACCTGGTGTTGGGAGGAAGTTAACCTATTTTGCCTAATTTCTATTTTTAACTTCTCTATTTCGGTAGTCAAGTCTTCATTTTCTTGCCTAAGTTCTTCTACCTGTCTTTTCCAATCAGCATTTTCTAA